GGAGTGGCCTGTTTGGTTTGTTATTGGGGGAGTGGCCTGCGCGGTTTGTTATTGGGGGAGTGGCCTGCGCGGTTTGTTATTGGGGGAGTGGCCTGCGCGGTTTGTTATTGGGGGAGTGGCCTGCGCGGTTTGTTGTTGGGGGAGTGGCTTGCGTGGTTTGTTATTCTCATCCTTCCCACAGCTGACTACCAGAGTCTAAAAAAGGTGACTATTAAAGCGTACAGGAATAGTACCTGTAGGGGGGTCCCAGGACCTCGGATGTTGCTCTCTAGTGTTTCTTGCCCCCCCTTTCTCTGAATCTGATACCACAGCGATTCACGATGGACATGAGAATTTTAAACGTGTCTGTGGGTGTCTTCACGGGCTCTGTTGGTGGGGGGGTGACCCACACGGTGTCACTGGGGGGCTGGCGGGAGTGGGTTAGTGTGCGGTGGCCGCGTGGGAAGCTGTCTGGCTGGAGGTGGGCTCTGGAACTCACTGACACGTGTACAGATTCGCCCTGGAATGATGCCTTTGTATGGAGACTGCAGGCTGCTGCCAGCTCCTTTGTGAGGGGCTCTCTGGGTGAGATGTATGTTTTTATATTTGGGGTGGTGGGGATTGGGGGTCACGCGTAATGGTTTGACCCTTCCTCCTTTGCTGAGGTTGTTTCAGCGTAGGCTTTAGAGCGGCTTTGCTGCACGCACAACTCTGCTGCGATCATTACATTTCACTCAGTCCTAAATCTCAGTGTGTTTGCAGACTCATGTGATTCTTCTTCCTAGTTCTGTAGCGTTTAATTCAGTAACTCCACAGATAAATGTCTCAGCAGGCTTTCAGGCGTTTTATTAATGGATGAAATGTTTCACGTCGATGTCATTTGGGAACAGCGAGAGCTCAGTACATGTGCAACCTGCCTTATTTAACTTTAACACCCCCCCCAGCAGCCTGTAAGGAGTCTCCATAGCTGGAGGGGGCGCTCTGCAGTGTGCAAACCTGCATGTTTAAATAGTATTGAGAGCAGGTCAGTGGCGACAGAGCGTGGATTGGAAGGCATTGTGTGTGTGTGTGTGTGTGTGTGTGTGTGTCTAGCTGATAGAATGCCTATCCTTGGCTAAACACATTCAGATGTCAGCATGATGGATTATCTCCTGGGTCAGGGCGCTCAGTTCGCAGGTCCAGAAGGTGGCGCCTTGCAGTGAGGGTGGAGGCCAGTGCCAGACTCACCCGGGGTGGGGCGATACCCGCCTCTGTTGTGAGATGTACTTCTAATGGCATGGCGCCAGGCAGCTGGCCCAGGGCGGGCAGGACCCTGCGGGTGTCTGCCTGCCGTAACCATGGACACAGCGGTCTGGGACCTTGCCTTCCTCTGTTCAGTGCAGGTCGCTTACAGGGTGCCCGTCTGCCTCTCTGTGACGGCACAGCTGTGTCCGTTTGCTCATTGAATTGGGTAAATCCATATCACTTAGTTACTGATGGGTTTTGCACGGGTACATCTGCTGGTTTGACTGCTCATACAGTGCAGCTGCAGGTTCTTAACTAAACCAGTTGATGTATGTGTGACCAGTCTAGGGTAGTTCTTCCGGAATTCTCTGCTGGGAGCCTGCTTCGCGTTCACCCGCCTGCTCACCATGTTGTCCTGTAGATGAGGCAGATGCACCGACGCTGTCTGATGCCAAGTGGACCCAGATCCTGGCTCCTCCCTCCCACCTGCTGAGCTTCAGTCCCGCCCTGGCGCACGCCGACCTGAGTCCGCTCAACCTCAAGCCCCCCCCCGAGAGCCCGGGGGGGCCTGCGGGAGACCTCAGCATGACCGGCAGCCCGGACACCGCCGCCGATGAGCGGCCCCCGGCCCAGCCCAACATTGGCAAGCTGGTAGGGGTCGACAGCCTGGAAAATGGAGCTCCCCCCAGTCCTGCCCTCAATGGCTGCGCCAAGGGCTCTCTAAGTGATGATGGGCCCCATCAGGTGGATGACCCCCCCTGTTGCGCTGGGAGCCCCCCGGCTGATGATGTGGGCCCCCCAGAGAGCGCAGAGTCCTACTTTAAAGACAGTTATTTTTCTCTGGAAGATGGAGGAGGCAGCGGCGACCTGCCGAGTGCCAGCGCGGATCCATCCGAGCCCCCTGAGCACAGCAGCATCATCGGATCCCCGAAGGGGGAGCACAACCTCGAGGTTCCGGCCCAGCCCGAGGTCCACGCGGACCCCGAAGGTCAGCCGGAGATGGTGACCAATGGGGGGACTGCTGAGACTTCAGCAGCCAATCAGAGTGAGGAACTGGAAGGGGAATTCTCCACCTGTGCCGTCCCCAATGGCCTGGAAGCCCCAGAGCCAGGCCCTAGATGCCCCCGCGGACCCCCCTCCAAGGAGGAGTTTGTGACTGAGGAGAAGGAGGTGGAGGAGAGCAAGCAGGAGTGCTCAGAGCAGGCCCGTGGTCCAGAGACAGGGGCCACTCTGGGCAGGGAAGATGGGCGCCAGCAGCCTGTCAGTGTGCCCTATGGGGGGGCGCGGCCAAAGCAGCCCGCCGGCCTCAAGCTGCAGATCCCGCGCTCGCTGCTGGGCCATAACCAATCTCAGAGCCATCCACAGGACCAGCTGGGCCCCCAGGGCAAAAACAAGAACCAGGATCCCCGGGGGCAGCCTGGGGAGGCGTCCTGCCCTCATGGCTACGGGGAGCAACCCAGCCTGAATGGAGAGAGGGCCTCCTCGGGCCCCTCAGGCCCCGTGATGGCCCCGGAGAGTCCAGATAATGACATACAGGCGGGACACTTGGGGGCACTGTCCAGAAAGCCCTTCAGCTCCCTGGGGGAGGTGGCCCCGGTGTGGGTGCCTGACTCCCAGGCCCCCGTCTGCATGAAGTGTGAGGCAAAGTTCACGTTCACCAAGAGGAGGCACCACTGTCGAGCGTGCGGGAAGGTGAGTCACCACTGCGATTCACCACCGCGCCGTGTGAGGTAGAATGAAATGTGGAGCTTGAAAATAAGTCTCGGATGTGTGGGGTTTGTGTGTGTGTGTGTGTGTGTGTGTATGTGTGCGTGTGTGCATGTGCATGCGTGCGCGTGTGTGTGTGCGCGTTGTGCGCTTCTGCAGATTCCCCTTCTGAACTTGCGCCTCACCTTCTGCCCCATTCCCAGAATTCCCGGCTACCCAAGTGGAAGGTGGCGATCACCTCTTGGACGCCTAATGTGTAGTTCAGTAGTTAGCGTATTATCCGCTGTTGTGGGGGCCTGTTTGTGTCTGGTCTGGTGCCCACGCCCCTGTTGCCGTGGTAACCATGATGACGCTGGTCTCTCTGACGCCGCAGGTGTTCTGCGCAGCCTGCTGTAGCCTGAAGTGCCGGCTAATGTACATGGACCGGAAGGAGGCACGAGTCTGTGTCACCTGTCACTCGGCGCTGATGACCGGTGAGTACCCGGTGACAATGCTGATAGGCACCACTAGGGGGCGGTAAGCTGTCCATAACTGGTTTTTATACATAATTTAATAATCAGACATTGCACATAGCGTGTACTTCTGGGTGTTTGTAACTGATATTCCATCCTGGGCGTGACCCAGACTGGGATAAGCAGTATGGATGGATGGATTGTTGTCTCGCCTTGACCCGGGCTGCCTCTGTCACTGTCAAGCTCAATCGTGGGAGAATGCGTCAGGTGGAAACGCACAGACCCCCAACCCCAACAACCCGGCCGAATACTGCTCCACCGTGCCGCCACTGCAGCAGGCGCGGGCTTCGGGGGCCCTCAGCTCGCCACCGCCCACTGTCATGGTACCCGTGGGCGTGCTGAAGCACCCGGGCACGGAGGGTAAGCCGCCCGCCGCGTGGTGGCATCGCTACCAGCCCTCGCATGGGCTTTATTTAAAATGGCAGAAGAAACGCAGCCCTTGGCAGCTCACACGCTGTGCCCGTCGTGCGTGAGAAAGCCATGTGACCCTGTGCTCACACCATCCTGCAGACCTTCTGCCGGTCCAGGGTAACGGAGCAGACTAGAGCTTCACACGTCCCTATTCCCCCCCCCCACCCCTCCCCAATAGGGAGCCTCCCACGGGAGCAGAGGAGGGTGTGGTTTGCAGATGGGATCCTGCCCAATGGGGAGGTGGCTGACTCCACCAAGGTAGCTGTTACCAGCCCCCCCCCTTCCGGGCCTCTGCTGCTGTCTCAGGATTCAGGCAAACCGGCCACAGCCGGCTCCTCGGAGGCCGTGCCACCACCGGCTGAGGTTAAGCCCCGAGCTGTCTGTCTGTCTGCCTGCCTGCCTGCCTGCCTGTTATCTGTGTGTGTGCCTGTCATCTGTCTGTCTGTCTGACTGCCTGCCTGTCTGCCTGTCATCTATGTGTATCTGCCTGTTATCTGTGTGTCTGCCTGTTATCTGTGTGTCTGCCTGTCATCTGTGTGTGTGTCTGTCTGTAGACTGCTGGAGGTTCTGTTTGTGATGTCAGTGATGATGATGATGATGATGATAATGACACAGTGCAGTGACCCCGGTCTGTTGGTCCCATCCCCCATCTTCGCAGACGGCTCCCCCCGCCCCCTCCCATGGCCTTGGAGCTCCTGTAGGAAGCCCAGTGGGCAGTTCAGTCAATCTGATTCCCGACGATGGACTCCCTCCCATCCTCATCTCCACAGGCGTCAAAGGAGGTACGCAGTGCCACACCGCAGGTGCTCCTCCATCCAGACCATAATGATTTCCTCACCTGTCAGGCAGACGGGCCTCTCTGTGTCCGTCGCCATGGCTTTGGCTGCTGTCATCTTTATCTCTGTGTAGCACTTAGGCATTCTCACCAGTGCGTGTACCTGTTGGAGGTCTTCACCGTGAGCTTTGGCCCTTTTCATCCACGCAGACTATGCAGTGGAGGAGCGGCCTTCTGAGATCCTCATGATGCAGCAGCTGGAGGAGGGGACGCTGGATCCTCTGGTCTTTGTCCTCAACGCCAACCTGCTAGCCATGGTCAAATTGGTCAACTGTAAGTGGCCCATCTTCTCATTGACCTCTGGTGCTTCTCAGGGTTAGTGGTGCTCCCTGAGTGGGTGGTTTTCACCTGGATACCTGTGGATTGTGGGAGATGGCAATGGGTTTCTTGGAGTCTGCATTTTGGAAACACAAAACTGAATGAATGAAATATGCGAGTGCTATAAGGATAACTGTGAATGATGGGACCCTACCCCAGAAGAATCAGACTTTGTTGAAGTTCTCCATTGATGTTCCCAGCTTCAAACAAAATCAGCCTATAACGAAATCTTGTAAGGTTCAAGCTTAAAGTCATGCTGGTGTGGCTGTCCCTCCATCTTCGAAGCTGAACATGTACACATCAGAAGTTTAAGGTATCTTGAGGTACGCAGTTTGTGGCATGGTAGCAAAGCTTGCCTCCGACGTCTGAAGGTGCTTCGGGTCGTTGTGGTGTATTTCACGCTAGAGACAGTGGCACTGGCGGGCACAGCTCGCCTCTGTAGTACAGTTCGTTCGTCTTCCCCTGTGATATTTGGGAATTAACAGTCTGTGCTCTTCCAGGTGGATTTGTCTTGAGATGCAATAAGGTTAGGTTCAAGAAACGCTCTGCGGGAGCTTCAAGGTGGCAGGCACCAAGGAAAATGTGGCCGTTGAAGGTAGTGCAGTGTGCATTCAGGGGTCCGTGCATTTGGAGCTACATGCAGGCTCTGGAACTGCAGAAGGGATGGAATGGTGAAGCTTGACAGAGTGAGATCTCCTGAAACTTTTAAGGAGCTTGTTGACTTGTTTCATTGACGATCTACTGTTATTTTTCACCTCATGTTCCTCTTTTGAGGTGGCTGTCCCATGTACTTAACTGGGTCTCATGCTCGGGCAGCGTAGTGCTTCACGCAGACTTGAAGTATTCCACGGTACTCTCTCTCTGCCTCCCCCTACAGACGTAAACCGGAAGTGCTGGTGTGTGACGACAAAAGGGATGCACGCCGTGGGCCAGGCGGAGGTGGTGGTTCTGCTGCAGTGCCTCCCTGATGAGAAGAGCATCCCCAGGGACATTTTTAGCCACTTCGTGCAGCTCTACCGGGAAGCCCTGACAGGTGAGCGAGGCGTCTGGCTTCCTGCTCTGCAGTGCAGCTTTGATAACCCAGCAGGGTTCATCGGTCAAAATGAAAGAACGAAGGTGCATTTTTATTAAGAGACATGGTGGCGGTTTAGTTGGGATGACGTGATATCGCAAATAAAATAAGGTGATAACTTGTAGGCACAAGAATCGATAATGTCAATAATAATCTGCGGTAAAAATAGTTGATGACAAAATTTGTCATCGATTGGTTGCATTTTTGTGGTTTGCTGTGTAAATCTGTTGCATCATTTTTGGTTCAGTACACACAATAAAAGGATGAATATATTGCTTGACACAGGTAGAACTTAAATTCACAAGTAAATGTTCAACATGGAAACATTATGGTGATTGTTGCTGGTCTTGTATATAATAATAATAATAATAATAATAATAATAATAATAATAATAATAATAATCAGTACCTTATTGATCCCCATGGGGAAATTGTCTTTACACCTCCCTCAACTTGCCCTTCTTTGTAGTGCAACGTGTCACTGAATATGCAGTGCCAGTCAATGGAGAGTGATAGTGCTGCATCACATGACCTGGTCACCTGACCTGGTCACCTGACCTAAACCCAGTAGAGATGATTTTGGAGGAGTTTGACCAGAGAGTGAAGGAAAAGCGGCCAATGAGTCTTTAGCATATCTGGGACCTCTTCAGGACGGCCATGGGCCCTCGGTGCAGGCGCCCGTCACACCATTCAATCGGATGGCCCAGTCCTGTAAAGGCACTGCCGTCTGCCGTGACAGACCTGCCGTGACAGACCTGCCGTGTGGTGCTGAGCATGTCGGCAGTGTTGCCCCGGGCTGCGGTGATTGCTCATGGCGGCTCCTGAAGCTCCAGTCACTGGTGATGGAGGGGGTGGGGCGGTGGGGTTCAGGGGTTCAGCGCTCTTGAACGTGACTGACGGTGTGGAATTTAAACATTGGTGGTGTCGGGGTTTTAGTGTCTCATTAGCAGTTGGGGGGGGGGGCTTTGTGAGGTGGGGGACGCGTGGATTGAGCAGGGCCTGCTGTGTAACACTGCTGATTCAGGCTCCCAATGGGTAGAGTTTGCGTTTCCCTGCGTTTCCTCCCTAGTGAGGTTCCTTTGCTGTTTTAAAATGGATCTCAGAGTGTGAGCGTGTTCGTGCCTGCAGTGGGCTGGCGTCCTGTCCGGGGTGTGCCCTGCTTTGTGCCCTGCAATGGGCTGGCGTCCCGTCCGGGGTGTGCCCTGCTTTGTGCCCTGCGATGGGCTGGCGTCCCGTCCGGGGTGTGCCCTGCTTTGTGCCCTGCAATGGGCTCTGCAATGGGCTGGCTTCCCGTTCGGGGTGTGCCCTGCGTTGTGCCCTGCGATGGGCTGGCGTCCTGTCCAGTGTGTGCCCTGCTTTGTGCCCTGCGATGGGCTGGCGTCCCATCCGGGGTGTGCCCGGCTTTGTGCCCTGCGATGGGCTGGCGTCCTGTCCGGGGTGTGCCCGGCTTTGTGCCCTGCGATGGGCTGGCGTCCTGTCCGGGGTGTGCCC